TCTCCCGGGTCCTCCGCGGGTTTGCTTCGCGTCTCCCTGCTCCTCTCCCCCCCCCCCACAGCAGACCAGGGAGATGCAGAGCAGCTTTTCTCGCCCCGGAGGCCGCGGGCGGCGGGACCGTGGCGCGTCTGGGCGGTCCTGCCGCCCGTGTCCTCCAGGGCGAGAAAAGCCCCGTTCGTAAGTGCAGATCTGACATAAGTCGGATCCGCGTAACCCGGGACTACCTGAATATTCCTTTCCTGTCTGAAGTGGTTATGCAGCAGATCTGATGAAAAGCTGCCCCAGGGAGAGGTCCATAATTCAATGGTGAATGAAGATATTCTTTTATATGCAGTTTGCAAAGTCAATTAGAAAAATTCATGATGAAAGGTATTATGTAAATTTAAGATGTTAGAACGTTTGTTCCCTAAATATTATGGATAGTGAGTTTTGCATTTTATATTATATCATTCAAGTTGATAATATATTTGTAGTGTGCATGTATATTTATGCACACTATATTAAATATTGTAGTACATTATGTCTTGGTGTATGCACACACATATGTTACCTTTAACATTTCTTCTTCCCCCGCAGTTTTACTTTTGGCTTCTATATCTCCCTCTTCATTGCAGGTAATAAAGCAGCTATTTGCTGCTAATAAAGCCATTTTCCCCTGTCAAAATACCACCACTCAAGTTAGTACTATGAACATATTTAGACACAAGTCTTTCATTTTAAGATTTTTTTCTAGAATACTCCAGAATGCACCTCAGATATCTTCTCACATTCTGCCTAAGAAATTCTAGTAGCCAGCCTTGGGTATCTCCTGTCTCATTTACTCTTACATTGTATAGTGCTACCAAAACAGACACACTTTTTGATTTGAAGTCTTTAAAAATACTTTAAATACTTAAGAAAATAATGTACAAGTTAACTATTCTTTATAATCTTGTAGTAGCTGTCATTCATTGTTTTACTACCTGTATGTAAGTGATATCTGTAATAGAGTATGCTTACATCTTGGAAAACGGGCTCCCATTGCTCTCTTGATCCTATTGCATCTGATCGTCCAACAACAAGACCATCTGAATTTATGCCAAGGTATTTGCCATAGCCAGACTTCAGTGCAATTCTTAAAGAAATGGGTAAAAGAGATACAGAATACTTGAATGTTAAAACTGTTTAAAATGTTCAATTATAAGAGGTTCAGCACTTTGATTTTAGCTATACTTCTAAGAGCTAGATGTTATATTTAGGAATAAAAAAATCCCATTTAATTGGGTAACTAGTTAAATGTTAAGTGTAATTGATCAAATGGGAGGGACCCCCACCCGCTACAGCCAGGCTGGAGTGCTTTCCCCTACCTGGACGGGGACTGCTCCAGCTGGGCTTGAGTGCCCTTGTCCAGTGTGCACCAAGCCCACCACACACAAGGGCTGCTCTGGCTGGGCTACAGCACCGCTGCCGGTGGTACACCCCAGGCTGGGCCTGCCACAGACAAGGGCTACTCTGGCCGGGCTGGAAAGCCTCTGGAGCAGTCCCCTGCCCAAGGCAGACTGCTCCAGCCCCTACTAGTTAACCATAAACAGTAAGCCTTACCATTAAGGGTGAGCCTTACCAGTTAACCATTAACATCTCTAGTTATAATAAAGTTGGTTTTAAGGAAGGATATTTATCTTTGATTCAGGATAAGAAATAAAAAAAAAGTAGTCTAAATGAGACTTTATATTCATTCTTGAAATAAAACCTGCACAACCTCAAATTTTACAAAGATCTACTGGAGTCATTAGCATAGCTCCTGCTGAGGTGTATGCCTGCACGGCCATGCATACAAAATTCAACCTCTGCCCATCTCCTCTGGAGAGCCACTCAGCAGCACTTGCATGGCAGGCAGCTGCTCGGGCGGGTGGGGGCGCTGGCTGAGACAACATGGTGAGGGAGCTACTAGGGCACTGGGCCATGATCTGCCATGGCCATGTGGCGGGGAGGGCCAGGGGCTCTTCTGGTGGCTAGGCACAGTAACGGGATCTGCTGCATGGCGAGGAGGGTGTGGGGGGGTGGAAGACAGTCCTGCAGCCAGGAACGGGACATGCTACATGGCTGGGCAGGGGTCTGCTCCAGTGGCTGGGAACAGGACGTGCTGCTTGGCCGGGGGAGGGAAGGAATTCTGCTCTGGTGGCTGGAAACGTGTGTGTTAATAAATTAGGTGCCATGGTGGCACACACCCAAACCAGCACACGTGACCTCAATATTGGTGCACAAGCCAAATCTCACTCAGTTCATGGTTGGACAATCTTAGAGGGAACATTGGTCATTACCTGGTGTCAGACAGTTTTGCTGCTGTAAACTGCTCAGGGGGACTAGGGCCATCATCCTCTGAAAGAATTTTTTTTTTTAAATCAGTATTAGGAATAAAGTGTTAGTTATACAATCTTCTAATTCATGAGACTAATAAAAATGATAGATTATACAAGAATTATCAGTGTAAAATGCAGGAAAAGACAATGCTGCAGGGCCAAATATTGACATACATTTTAAAAAAAGAATCCAACTACTGTAAAAGCAAAAAAAATTGTTTTAGAGGAGTTAGCTAAACACCTATATGGTTAGCATTCTACAAGATACAAACATAATCCCTGCCCTCAACCAATTTAGGATTGAGAATTTACAGCAATTCATGAAAAACTTGTATCTAAAGCCACTGAATTTCTCTGTGAATCTCAGGTTATGCAATATATACTGTTCTCATAAGAAAATGTACTTACACGTTTACAAAAAAAACTCACATTTTAACATCCTTATTTAAAATACTGAATTCTAGTTATGTGCTCAAGTTAAACAGTGTAACTGCTGAAATTGTCAGCGGTTACACATTAACATGCGAGGGAAGGGGAGGCAGTTCCCCACTCGTACAGTCTCCTGTGGAGCCGCCTGCCTCTGACATAGGCAGCAATGTACCGGGGAGGGCTTGTGTGTAACCATGACGGTTAAGTAGCCAATGAGCCTGGGCTCTTCCATTACACAGTTAAATGTGTACACTGACACATCCCTAATTTTAAACCCACCATTTCTTTTGTAGCAGTAGGAATGACATACTGCCACCATCCCTGGACTGGCTGTTCCTCAACCCCAGAGTAAAGTAACATCCAAATTCACTTTTACCTCCAGAATAGGGATTCCCTACTTGAGCAGTGCCTTTCTCATTCCCAGACTGAGGGAAAGATCAGCTACTAGGCCACTTTCAGAGAACATCTATATAACAAGTACAGAAGGATTGGTCAGCACTCTGATGTGGAGTAGGAGTCAGTGGGTGGTAAAATGAGAGTCCTGGTCTGATGTGAGTTTCTCTTTTTATAAGACAAATTCATCCCATACAGGCTTTATATGATTTCTTACAAGAGTTACACTGCTTTCCATCTTTTTAAAGGCATTCACCAACAGGTGAGCATCAGAAAAGGAAGTGAATTGCATGTATAAGGAAAACAAGATGAGCTTAGAAAAATTGATTAGTAGTCAGTCATTAGGATTCAGTTATCCTCTTCGCTGGTTTATGCAGTTATAGAATAATATTTTTAATACAGGTTGGACATTTCTTACCCTGCGCTCGAATTTGCTGGACTAGAGAAGGTTCTCTACCACAGCTGCCGACTCTCTGTCGGTGTAGCAGAGGGGCAAAGGGTGGAGAGGGTGTGGAATGGACTACCTCCAGCCCCTGACAGGCTGCCTGTTGGGTTGCTAGCCCTGCTACTGTTGCCCCAACTGGACTGCCTGCTGCAAGCTGCTGGATCTTGTCCCAGTCAGGCTGCCTGGGGCAGCTGAGTGCTTGGGCTCCAGTCCCATCCCCATGGAAGCCTGCAGGCTCTGACCCCACTTCTGCGGGCTGTCTGGGGTTCCAGCCCCATGCTGCCATGTGTTGCTGGGGCTGCCGCCAGTCCCATCCCCACTGTGGCGGGCTGCCAAGAGCACAGGCTCCTACTGCACAACAGCCCACAGATTCTGGCCCCACTTCTGTGGACTGCCCGGGGCTCTCTGCCATGGACTGTCACCAGCTGGATCCTGTGCTGCCACAGGCTGTTGCTGATCCCGTCCCAGTGCTGCAGGGAGCTACTGAGGGCTGGACTGAAGCAACCCCTACCCCATCCCACTACTTCAGTCCAGTCCTCCTGGATTGCCCTCCTGTCAGGCTATCAGGGTTCTCTGATCAAGTAACATCCATGGTCCTGCCAGACCAGAGATGTTGCCAGACCAGAGTATTGTGGCTTTGGGAGGTGCAATCTGTATAATGTATGTTAAAAATACCTTAAGTTTATTGGCTTGAAAATAAATTCTTCATCTAACAAAATACGTTTCATACTTTGACACTGCCAAGTTTTTCTTTTCCTTATACAAACCTTTATGCGGTGCTCCAAGTGTGAAAAGGCCATTGTCAAGTGCATGGATATAAGCTCCCTTGTCCAGTTCTATTGCTACAGTTCCTGTGATTTCACCAAAATTTTTTACTGCCCACCAGCTTCCTAAAATATAAGAACAAGAAATAACACCACACACACAACTGGATTTTAGTAAAGTACTATTATTCAAATTAGCTGCTATGCTCCTAGGTGCTATGCTAATATAGACCACAGCTAAATTGCACAAAACAAAATCACGGTCCTTGCCTCAGAGAACTTGCAACTAATGTATAAGACAAGAGACTATGGACGGATATAGACAAGCGAGTATAAGGTACCAAGACAGTATTTGTGAGCATGGTAGGCAATGGGCTCAGCATACCAGCATTTGTCGTCAGTTTTGTTTTCAGCTTCATGGCAAAGGAGAGGATTTGGAGGATAACTATGTGGTGCTCCAAATGTGAAAAGGCCATTGTTAAGTGCATGGATAAAAGCTCCCTTGTCTAGTTCTATTGCTACAATTCCTGTGATTTCACCGTGCTGCTCTTAAGCATGAGGGACAGCCTGAGAGAAAGTATAAAGATGCTTGTTTGAAAATTCAATAAATGTGTGATAAGGCTGGCATCGACTGATTAGAGGTGCAAATCAATATCTCAACTGTGAATGAGAAGTTAGAGGAAGGGTAGGGATACACTGTGCAAAACTTTGAAAGTGAAGAGAAGCTGTTTATGTATGATGTGATAGAGAAGGGAGAACCAGTGAAGGCTTGCAAAGAGGGAGAGGATACGGTCAAAATATCAGGCTCTGAGTATTATCTTTGCAGCAGCATTCTGAATGGATACAAGTAGGACAAAATTAAATTTATTATAGTTGTTAGAGAGAGAAAGGGATGTTCCAATGATTGAGATGTTAAGTGCCTACACCACAGTGTAAGCCGTATGGTTGGATAGGAAAGGCTACACCTTACAGAAACTTTTTCAGAAAGAAACTTCAAGATAACTTAAACATGAGGTCCTAGAGAGAGATGTTGTACAGCTGCTTGAGTGAAAGCAGAAAGGTGGTGGTGTTCATGGTGACTAAAAAAGGAACTGGCGCAGCAAGGGCTTGGAGGGAAGATTATAAGCTGTTTTAGAAATGTTGAGCAATAGCTGATGGCAAGCCATCCACAAGGGGAGAGAGAGAGTTTGAGATTTTGTTCTAAGTAGGAAATAGATTTTATCTAGTAATATATAGTAGCATTATAAACATCTACAGTTTACGTAGTTTGCTGTGAAACCTTGACTGATAAATATATTTGGGATCATTCTGCTCGTGCACTAAAACAATCTACAAGCATTCCAGAAGCTAAACAAAAGTGTTCTGCATTAGGGATGTGAATGGTTAACACAGTGGTCCCCAACGCGGTGCCCGCGGGTGCCACGGCGCCCGCC